AGGAGGAGGAGGAGGAGGAGGAGGAGGAGGAGAAGGAGGATGAATTATTTGACTTTGGGAGGCCACCCCCACCCCCAGAAGACTAGAGAGAAGGATCTATGTGCTTTAACATGTTTTTCCTCTTAAAATGCAGCCTGAGAAAATGCCTGGAAATTATATTCATCAAGGGATAGTCAATTAAAGGCAAATTCTTCCTAAGCCAGAAAGCCAGAGGAGATAAAAAAAATAATGGGGACCACGGATAGAGGAGGAGGCCAAGATAGAGAAGGAAGCAAGAAAGGGTTGTTCCAACTCACCCAACTGAGGCCAGGCCAAACCCAGGAGAATGGGGAGGATGGGGAATCCTAACTGTGCCATATTAGAGGTTCCCAAGTTGGGGGATTGCCGCTGACCCTGAAGACTTTCTTGTTGGGAGTGTGCGTCCAAGAGTGAGGGCGTTGGGACTGGAGGGGCAGTGGCGACATCCGTCTGAAGAGTGAGAGAACAGGAAAAGAAATAGCTCTGGGCAGGAAACCTCAGAAAAAGGGAAGAACTTGTCATCGTGATGGGATCAAGTCAGCAAGAACCCTCCTGCTCACCCCCACCCCCACCCCCGTTTTCCGGAAGTGACTCCAACTTAAAAAGAAGTGGCCGAGAGCTCAGCTTTGCTTCTGACCTGAAGCAGCTTCGGTTACGTTGCCTATATGTTTATCCTTCCTTCTCCTTTTTTCCTCCTTCTTCTTCTTCTTTGACTTTTGGGGTTTGCTTAGTTCTGCCTCTCTCCCCTCCCCCCATCTTTTAATTCTTCCAATTTTACTTTTGAGTTATGGTATATGCCACCCAGAGTTTTTATGGAATTGAGTGGCCTAGAAATAATAAGAAATGTAAAAGTATCTGTCTGTCCGTCTGTCCATCTGTCACTCTCTGTCTCTGTCTGTCTGTCAGTCTGTCACTCTATCTGTCCATCCGTCCACTTTTCTATCCATTCATCCATCTGTCCACCCACCTATTATAGAATAGAATAGAATAACAGAGTTGGAAGGCCAAAGGCCAAAGAAATTGGAGGGCACATCATACAATACAATAGCAGAGTTGGAAGGGAGCTTGGAGGTCTTCTAGTCCAACCCCCTGCCTAGGCAGGAAACCCTATGCCGTTCTTTTACATAATTATTAAGTGAATCACTGCAGTTGTTAAAATTATTAATGGTTGTTAAGTGAAACTGGATTTCCCATTGTCTTTGTTTGTCAGAAGGTCACAAAAGGTGGATCACATGATCCCAAGGGACTGCAACAGCCCCCGCGATGAATTTTGGCCAGCCAGGGGCTGCAGGAGGACATCCAGACAAAAAACAGGGCACAAGGGGACCCATGCATGTCCCCGTGCCCCATTTTGATCAACAGAGTGCTGCAAGAGGCATCCGTTCCAAGGGATCTTGGAAATGTTCTAGTCCAACCCCCTGCTTAGGCAGGAAACCCTACACCACTTCAGACAAATGGTTATCCAACATCTTGAACAGGAGATTGAAGTCCGGTTGATAACCACAGTTGCCAAAAGTAGAATCAATAAGTAGTGATCTGAATTGAGAAGGAAGGAAGGAAGGAAGGAAGGAAGGAAGGAAGGAAGGAAGG